AGGTGGTGTTTTGCTTCAAGGTTAGTTTGAACTGCGCCAAACAAAATGCATAGAGTTCCACTTTTCAGTTATTTGGATGCTAAAATTCTTCTTTTCGAGTATTGTACAGATATGGGAAAATGGGATGAATCTCCATCTCACGAAAAATGGTTCGTTTATGGTGCTGAAGCCAAAGAGGGGGTCGAAAAATACCTCGCTCATCTGACTCTAAAGTATGCGCATATAATTGTATTGCATTGTTAGTTAGGTTGAATTGTTCTGATGTCGTACAGTTTTCTCATTTCCAATGAACTGGTTGTTGATGCATAAGCTGTTTGCTTGGCCTGCAGGCAACAAAAGGAAAAGAGGGCTATGAGGAAAAAGCGTTCCAAAACTTCTTGTGAAAGTAATGAAGAAAACATGGAGCTCATTCCTGAAAGTAATGAAGAAAACACTGAGCTGAGTCCTGAAAGTAATGAAGAAAACAAGGAGCTCAGCCCTGAAAGTACTGAAGTAAACAAGGAGCTCAGTCCCGAAAGCAATGAAGTAAACATGAAGCTCAGTCCCGAAAGCAATGAAGACAACATGAAGCTCAGTCCTGAAAGCAATGAAGACAACATGGAGTTCAGTCCTTCGGAAAGCAATGGAGAAAACATGGAGCTCAGTCCTTCAGAAAGCAATGAAGAAAACATGGAGCTCAGTTCTTCTGAAAGTAATGAAGGAAACATGGAGCTCATTCTTGTGGCTAATTAGAGGTTTTAGCCATCAGAAGACAGTTGTTTCAAGTCCATTTTAGTTTTTGTTTTTTTAAATGCAGAATCGTCTAAATATGTAATAAGGATGATAACATCCAAGTAGTTGGCTGCCCGAGTTTCTGCTGTTTCCTACTTTGGCTTTTGCTGTCTATGGCATTGCTGATTTGAAGAGAAGCGACTTTCAGAAACAGGCCAGCTGCCTCAGCACAGAAGTGTGGTTCTTAACCTTTCAATGGTTGGATCGTACTCTGTATTTATTCTGGGGAATGTAAGCAAGGGGATAAACCTTTTTTCAGTATTTTCTGAATGCATTTTGGAAACTTTTATCAATTTCATGTTTCAAGATCTATCTCTGATATTTGTTCCTGGTTTAAGATCATTTAAGTTCATGCAATATTTTCTCTAGGTTGTATTAATGGATTGGCCAGACTTGAAGTCTTGGGTCCAGGCCCAGGCTCAGAGAGACTGTCAGAGGGGTCCCTACAATTATGGGTCCTCAACAGTCATCTGATCAGTTGTAGAGTTTTTACAGTGCAAGCTAGATTGAACATCTCAACATTGCCCCTCATTGTAGAAGCTCCTAGTCAGTTGGGCTTAGTGATAATATCAGACTTGGGCCATATATAGGTCCAATGAGAGCCATATCAGACTTGGGTTCTCGATAGTCATCTGATCAATTACAGAGTTATTATTGGGCGGCTAGATAGATTGAACTCCTCCCGACATAGCCTTATTATAAAAGCTCTCGCCTAATTGGGCCTACTAATAATATCAGACTGGGGCCATACGTCTAGGCCCATCCACTTTTACATGGTGGCTATCAATTTTATTTTATTTTTCATTTTTCTGGTTAAACTTGAAACTCAAAGGAGAATGAAAAGAAAAAAAAAAAGAAAATGGATAACATGAGGACACGTAATCAGAAATTTGGCGGTTGGGAGCCGCCACTGCATAACTGCTGTGCTCTCAGAAAGTCTCAACCTTTGAGGAAGAAGAAGAGAGAGAGGGACAAAGAGAGCTCAAATGGCAACCAAAGCACTATCAACTGTAACTGCAAGTTCAAAAGGAATCTTCCTCTGCCCCCACCAATATCACGAATTCAACCGCCACCGCTTTCTCTCTCTGCAACACCACCACCACCACCACCATAACACTAGCTCATCAAAACCAAGGCCCATCACCAGCTTCCTCGTCCATCTGGAGCCCATTGGGCCTAGGTCCCACCAACACTCAAAGCCTAAGCCCAAATTGACCAGAGCACGAGCCGCCGATTCAACCCAGCCTACCACCGTCTCCTCCACCGCCGACAAGACCGTCGTTCCTGACGACCAGTTCTCCCTCGCTAAGGTACCTCTGCTTTACTTTCCTCACATTTCATTCACGCACCTACAAATATTTCAGTTAATTGTTGTGTGATGTATGCAGGTTTCGTTTGGGGTTATTGGTCTGGGTGGTGGGCTTTCACTCTTGTCGTGAGTTCTTTGTCCTCTGTTTGGTACTTGGATAGCATTAAAGTTTCTAACTTTGTGAAGCATATTTTGATTTTTTTTTTTAACTACATATTTGTTCATAATTCATGTGTTTGTGAACAAACAGCTATGGTTTTGGGGCGTATTTTAATATCCTTCCTGGGTCTGAATGGTCAGCATTGATGCTCACATATGGCTTCCCACTTGCAATCATTGGTATGGCTTTCAAGGTAAAATTAAAAGTAACATATTGTGTAAATTAGCTTGTGAACAGTAATTAAGAACAAATGTTGCCTGGTTTTGCTTCTTAAGATAGTTGTTGATTTGGTTGCATGAACTTTCTGTCTAGTTCATTAATTTTGGTTGTCAAACAAATACATACCTAGGTCCTTGCTCTGCTATTTACTGAAATTTTGGCTTGATTCATTTCTTGACTTGAAGTCATTTGTCTTTCTATTTGCTGATTGTATTTCTGTTTCTGTTTTGCAGTATGCAGAGCTAAAGCCAGTACCATGCTTGACTTATTCGGATGCTCTGAAATTAAGGGAAACAAGTGCCACCCCAATCCTTACGCAGGTAATTACGTTGAATTGGCTCATTCTTGACATGAGTGTGTGGTGGTTTAAGAAAATTGATGTTGTAAGGGTTTATATATGGTGTGGTAAATTTATTGCATCAACCCTCAAAAACTTTGGAGTGTAATGGGCCAGTAATGCGGTGTTCATTGTTATCTCTTATTATCCAGTCTGTACTGAGATGTTTGCAGTTAGACATGTTTCTGTAGTTTCTTCATGTGCTTACTCATAACGATATTGGACGCACCAGTGGGGTGATGGGAAAAGGATCCTTATGAGAAAATGTGTGCTTGAGAATCAATATCATTGAAATACTAAATAGAATGTTGAGGAAATATTATCAACCCCTTTGGACTTAGTGGTTAGTTCAAAATTTTCAAAATGTTGGCTGATTTGTTGAGTCCATGAGTGGATTAGACTTGGTCTCTTGTATCAACATTTGATGCATTCAATACTGGGTTCTTTGGTTTTTTGGCCAAATGATATGATATATGTAATTAGGTCAGGAATGATGTTACGAGGTATCGCTATGGAGATGAGCAGCATTTGGATGAGGCATTGAAACGAATTTTCCAGTATGGTCAGGTGTGTTGTCTGATTTGTGTTTAAATATGAGAAATGTATTCATCTATGCAGTTGTTTCGGAATATTCTGCATGAGGGAAAGAAATGTTTGGTCTTTCATATCCTATTTGGAAGCTACTTGTTATCACAACACTTCACTTCTAATATTATTTAGATGTAGATAATCTTATGCTCAGTGCACAGTTACATTGTGATGGGAATATCTGCTTCAAACTCTGTTTTGTGCTTATCATTTTTTTTATACCTGTTTTACCTTCAGGGTGGGGGAATTGCTCGGAGGAGTGCACCTACTCTCCAAAGCATTCGCGAAGAGGTATGCTTCTCACCTGAACTTGGTTTCAACTTCAAGCGTGTAAACTTTTGATTACCTCCCATTCAATGAAATCCTTTTAATGTCGGGTGTTCTTTTATATATATACAAGTGATATTGGGGATGTATTAACAGGCTAAAAGCAACTTCTGTGGTCATAGGCTTATAGCTCTAATGCAATTGATTTTCAGTTTAGGAATTTCTAGAAAAGTAGAATTTTATTCTTTCCTGAATATCATATACAAGAGCAGCCTGATAACCCTGAATTTTTTTTGCAAGATTCTTAAGGTTTTAATCGTTTATTTCCTTCAGCCTTGCTTACTAAGTTGATAGCTGATGAGGCTTTTAGTTGATTTGTGTCAAAGCGTGACCACCATTATTCCCCAGTTGCTACTATTTCAAATTATACTGTATGTTTTTAGGTCACAGAAGATGGTAGATACTCTCTAGTCCTGGTATTTGAGGCAAAAGCTCTGCAGTTATCAGATTTTGAACAAAGACAGGTAAACTTACAGAGTCCTGTTACGATTGATAGCATGAAGACCATGTTTTAAAGTTCTCCTAAATTTCACAGGATAATAAATTGTTTGACCTTCTTGTATTTTGAAGATTTATTAACCCTTGTAATTCCAAATAGCAAAAGATACTGCATACTGATTTATGTGTTCTAACAACTTTAAGGCCAAATTTGCGTCATTCTTCGGACCAGGAATCACAGCTGAAATCGGTGAGTTTATACCTAAATGCTTCAATTCGAAGTTTGTAAATTTAGAGCGTTGAAGTCATGCAACAATCTGAATTTTGCTTGCACCAAACGTTTTGAAATAATATTTATTTTCTGGTGCAGTGAAGGGAGAGAAGAATCTATATGAAGTCCGACTCATTTCTAACTCCAACGTTGACCCCTCTGCATAACACTTGTAAAAAAATGCAATGTAGTTTAATCATTACACAGCCTCTTGTCACTTGTAAAACTGTTGTTTAAATTCAGTTGACAAAATCTTATTGTATCATATATACAATTTTGAATAGAGAATCAGAAACATGACAAAATCTCGGTTTTTTTTTCAAATTCTTCTGTCACGAATTCCCAGGACTGATATATTTACTCCAAGATCTTCATATCAAATTTGAATCCTATTTTAAATTTTCATTTCTCCTCTAAGATTTTTTAGATTTTCAGTTCCCTACTATATGAGCAGTAAAATATCCCATATGGTATGAAGTTATTTTTTGCAGAGAGGCCTACCACTTTTACGGCACAAATAAAAAGCATGCACGTGAAAGAAAAAAGGGATAAAACAAGAACAAAAACATTAAACAGAACAAGAACAAAAACATTAACATCACTGAGTGAGCAATATACTACAACAAAGAAAAAAGGGATAAAACAACCACCAAACCAAAGACCCCATACATGATTGTTCTCTTTTCTTAATCACAGACACTCAGTGACCCTGCAAAGATTTCTGCACACACAGAATCTCTCCTTCAGCCGGTCCTCCAATATTCTTTTCACCATTATCATTAAAAATTTCCACCTCTAATTTTTCTCAGCACCCTTTGAGATGAGAAAGAAAGATATTCTTCTTTCTTGGTTTGTGTTTTTCTCTGTACCTTTTTCTCATCCATGACAAGCACCCACCTTGCCTGCGCTGTTGCTCATCATCCCTTTTCTTTCTCTCTTCCTTTTCTCTTTTTGTTTCTTCTTGCTCTCTTGTATCTTTCACTTCCACCTGCACTTAATATAACCCACACATAAAATCCCATACTTTCTTATATTTGGTTATCTGACTAGGAAATTAGTACATGTGCTCTGAGTTTGACCCAAACTCATTGGTTCCAGCATAAATGGTATAAATTTAGGCCAAACAAATGGTGCAAAATGAAGTCCATGTTGGTCATAATTAAGCTCTTAGATAGAGAGGGACCATCAATTTCAAGACGCTACTGTCACTTTCTACAACCATCAGCCTATCAGTCATGAAATTTGATCACAAGGGTCACAAACACCATGAAATGACAGTCTCCTCACATCAGGTACAACTTGATGGTCACAAAGTCTAGCATCAGTTTACAAGGACATGACTCTCTGGAGCAACAAACTTGTACTAAACAGTGAAATAAATCACCAAGTAACCAACCCTGAAACACACGACCATCTTTTCCAAAAAGAAGCAGAAAAGGAAATGAAATAAAATAAAAAATCAGTGATGGGGCACTTGCATTGAGAACCCAAAGGATTAGAAAGGACCAGAAAAGTGAAGAATCCGTATTAACACGTGCCCTGAGGAATCTTCAGGGGTTCCACATAAAACAAAAGGAAGTGGCGTAAAAAGAAGAAAAAGAAACATATAGTTCATACATCAATCAAGGGAAAAAAGGTAAAGTAAATCGATAGTGTGGTTTTTGCAACTTGGTACGCAATTGTGAAAATGAGTCATCCGGGGTTTTAGGCCTCTGAGAAAGAACACTTATTGCAGAGGCAAGAGGCAAATTGTTTTTCCCTGCCACAGAGTTTATGTGCTGGAAAACAGGGCCACTTGGGAGAAAATATCGAGGAAACAGAACTGGATAGGCATGTGCTAAACAAAAGGACCAAGAAGAGGGACCAATTCAATCTAATCTACTAGTCTAGTCCCCCCACTTTGAAGGGCATAGTTTAGTTTTTTATGATACCAACCATAAAATGCAACCTTCATTTAATTGTCCCATCTTTGAGAAACACATCATTAATTAGTAACATCCTTAATTATTACCACACAATTAACCTTAAAAACCTACAGCAACATGGCTAAGTGTTAGCATGTTATCTGGGATATCAGCAAGAACATACCTCTTCATCAGATTTTAATTTTGCATTTGATTTAGGCGAGTCTCCTACTCGGAATCGGTTTAACGATCTCTCTATGATTGAAGGGGTTGAAGCAGAGCTAGGAGGACTACTTGAACTCATATCAGGAGGTGTGCTTTGAGTCCCCACATCTCTGGTCGTGCCTTCTGTTTTCTTCTCTGGATTGAGAAATTAACATATGGTAGTTGTAAATTAATTAGCAGATCCAAATTCCAATGCCAGCAACCATTTTTTTTTTTTTTGAGTGAAAAATGACAAGTATGAGGTAAGATAAAGAGGGTTGAACCTGGAATTGGAAACTGACGAACAAAATCTTCTTTTGCAGGATTAGAAGAAGGCTTGGCATGAATTGGTCTTGAGTGGGAAGAGTAAACAAGAGGTGCAGACATTGTAATTCTATTGGTTATGTTTCGAAACGATCTTCCACTAAGTGTTTTTGCAGATAAACACTCCATTGGAACCTGCCCTGATAGAGGGTTGCATATATATTTCTCTGCTTCATTCCACTTAGAATTCAAAGCAAACCCATCTGGTGACAAAGATTCCCAACTATGATATGCTGACCTTGCCTGCAATGCTGCAAGAAAAAACACCACAAACCTGTACGTTATAATTTGACCTAACAACATGCTTTCATGATCATGTTAGCAGTTTAGTAAGTACCATTCCGGCTAATTTCTTTAAATCATTATAAAAATCTTACCTTTGAGGGCAGTGGGGAATGAGTAGGTTGCCGGGTCGATTTCGTCTGCATAAAAAGAAAGGGGAGGAAATGATGAGAAATAGTAAATGCAAGCTGGGTTTTGAATGAAACAGAGAGAAGGATACCTCTTAAGTTATAGCCAGGAGAAGAAGCAGTACTAGAGATGGTTATGTTTGATCTGAAAGACCTTGTGTCCTCTCTGAAGCTTCTAACATATGAAGCTGAAAACCTTCTGGAATTTGTGTTTTCACGGCTGATTCTAGCCTTCACAGCCCATTCTCTCAAACTGAACTCTGTCTCATCTCGCCTTCTTGAACCATATGGTGACTCTTCCATGGTGGAGAACATAAAATGAGCTTTTTTCCTTCTTTCTCAAGTTTTATAATTAGTAACGGAAGGCCACATGAACAAGTATGAAAACATGCAGAGCAACTTTCAAAATATGTAAACTGTCTTTCTCTTTCTGGGAAGATATGCTTAAAAAGAGTAGCTGCTACAATTGTATCAGTTTAAACATGGCGGTATATGCAATGTGCATATTGCTTTGGTTGCCTATGCCACACACACACAAACTGACACGTACACATAAAGGGCGATGCTTTCTCTTTCTCCTTCCAAAAAAGAAAAGAGAGAAGCTGCAGTACAAATTTTAAGAGTAAAGAATATATTTTTACTTCCACAAAGTTTCAATTTATACACCAGAAAATTCATAAGTTTATGGTATGATTTTTAAATACTGCAAACCAAGGGGTATATATTTCCAATATTTTTCTCGGGTTTTTTTTACCAAATGCGAAATGTTGAAAGATCATTCACCATTCTTTGTGGGCAGGCAAGATGTGAGAGGTGTCTGCAGAGCTGACACTGGAATTGATCTAAAGAATCTTAAAATTGATAAATAACCAGAGGAATGTGGGTCACAATTTTGTTGTATTTTTGCTCATGAAAAGAATAACATTGCAATAGTACGATGTGTTGAAATTTTTTTAATCCAACAATCCAACCAAATTTAGCATTTGAATGTGAATGCATTATACTTTTCCCTAGTGGGAAACTGTTTGATTGAAGTCAGGGAAGATATGATTTGATTAATTTGTGAAAATGTATTCAAATTGACAGAGAAGTGTCAAGAAACTTTTATAATCAGGTGGAGCACAGGGTAACATGGAGGTTCATCATGGAAGTACTTGGATGGCCTTGTTGAGCAACTCAAGTGCAGTGGGGCAATTGAAGGTTAACTTAAAAGTACATATTTTATCAAGCAAAGTATATTTTGTACTTCCAAGCCCTTTGAGTAATTGCTTTTTATAGGCTCAAGTAACCACAAATTCTAGTAGTTTTTGCATTAATGCTAGTGATACTTGTATTCAAAATCACACACTCGATAATCATTTGAGCTACAGGCTCTTATAGTCTTAAAAACACTGTCCTTACTGTAAATAGTTTTGAATTTGAAAAATTCAAACAGTTGTTTCCCTCCTGTGACCTCTCCATCAATGACTGCATAAAATTCTGATTATTAAAAAAGGAAAACAAATGTTTTACATCTGATTTTTACTTTTGGGGATATGGTTTCTAAGAGCTAACAAGTTGATGAAGCAGATATTAATGTTGGGTTGCTTTCGGTCTGGGCTGGATGGCGAAGAAAAAGAGTGGATAGCAAGAAGGGGAGGGAGAAGGGCACTTGGCTTGAGGGGTGGAGTAGGGGTGAGTGTCTGTGTGGCTGTGCATATCCATGTCATGTGATTGTCAACATCTTTGAAAAAAGGAGGATTGAGGGTGGTGCGGTCCTCCAATTATGGGGATCAGAGGGCCCCACCACTGGACCTCATCATAGTCGTCAGTTTTGTCTGATGTGTAAGCAAGGTAGGTTTCAGTAAAGGGACAGGCGGGGCCCATCCACTTCATTTAATTTCTAAAGTTTTCATTTCAAGGATGAGATATCTGAATCTCTGATATTATTGTCCTTTTTCTTCTTTTTCAGCTGAGTTATTATTGTCCTTGAAAAACCTTCTTCTGGTTGAAGTAGTGTTTGGTGTCAACCCAAAGCAAAGCTAAAGCTTTCTTTACAGAGTGTTTCATCATTGGAAATATTAGGAGCTCATCTCATTTTATAAAGGTTTTCATTTTACATCTGCAGATGCTAAATCCTGATTTCAAAGCTATGAAGGCAAACAGAGTTCTAACAACCTATAGATTTTCCTTTCCATCAATTCTGAAAGCGCACCAGACAAAATCACAAGCATATAAGTTCAACAGAAAAAATAACCATGGGCATTCACCCAGTTAATATGTGTCGGTGAACGTTATTACAGACATTACAAGCTCTAAGAACTCAAAGTCTCAGAATGTCTGGAGTTTCATCCATATCAGACGCTATCCTGCAAGCCGTCTCATGGGTTTATTGACCTTCGGTCGAATGCAGGTTCAATTCTCCACCTGACAACCGTAGAATAGACATGCACCACATGAGGCAACACGGAGAACCCACACCCAATACGTTCACATATGACAAAAGTTGCAGCTCGTGGAGTTAGGTTGAACAACAGAAGTGGCTTTCAGTTGCTGAAACAATCAACCTTTAGAATGTGGAAAGCAATGACAGGCACCCAACTGGTCCCGATTCCATACTACCTAAAATAGGGGTAAAAGATTTGATGAGCTCAAACCAACCAGTGACAAGAGACTTAAGAAATCAATACCAAATTCAAACCAGACCAGTCCACAACCTTCTTCCAATCAATGTTATTGGGTTACCATGGATGGCAAGCCTTCTTTAAATCCAAACACAAATACCAAAAAACTTCTATGATCTTACATACCTTCAAGAGCTCAGCATTCTCAAAGTCTTAACCACTTCTAGATTGATAAGGAAACTGCAGCTCCTGACTTCAGTAACACAAACGAGGCATGGGACCATGGTAATCAAGCAACACAAGGGCACCTTCAAAATCAAAATATGAGTTCAGACTCCATACTAAAATACAGACTATACATGACAAGTTGACAACTTATAGTTCCAACACTCACTGTTTACATAGAACATTTCTCCAGGACCTCAATCAAACTGGCAGAGCTCATTTAACAAGGCCTGGATTTCAGAAGTCCTACAAAGAAACCAGCTTAAAATCATATCCACAGAAAAAATATATTAGAGGGCATAAATTTAAGACAAGCTGCTCACCAGTAGAAAAGGCGGTTATAGCTATGCAACTTCAAGAAATCGCATAGGTGTATAAGTTTCCTGCTTAAGAGGGATAAACATCAACAGAAATAAAAGGAATAAATAAGATAAAATAAATAAGATGAGAGAGGGGATATTAAGTTTTATACTCCATGTGATACTTGCATAATGAAAATAATTATGATATCCAATTTAGAACAAAATTCTTGACCACAAACGACACATAACATCTGCTTAGCCAACATCATGTTTATAAAACTTATGATATCAGATTTCCAGCAGTTTCAATTTAAAAAATTTAGTTTCAACAATAAGAAAAAATTTCTACATGGTTAATTGAACCGATGCATGATGCCAATTAGCCTATTTATCTATATTTGAAGTCCAGGTAACACTTATTGTACACAAAGTAAGTCTAAATGAAAAAAAGAAAACCACATGTTACCTTGGCCAAGAATCAAAATAGCATTTGCAGCCAACGGAATAAGATCTTGAATCTTTTCGCTAGCAAAAATTGTGAGAACAACTAGCACAGAAAACAGAAAGTCAGTGCAAAATACTGGAAACTAAATCCAGAAAGGGGCATATGACCCCAACTAAATTTGATCGTTGGGTTCAAATGCTTGATGAACAAGTTTGCACCATCATAGAACTCCACTGATGAGGATAAATTGCAACCTCATAAAATTATTGAAAACACATGTAAGTTTCTTTGACATGTTAGGAAGAAAGATGTGACATAATCTGAAATTAAAATGCATTAAATTTAACTAGAAAATTATGGGAAAATGGATACCTGAGATATGAATCAACTTTTCCTCACTATCATTTCTATCATTTTCGTTAACCGCATTATCCATGTCAGATGCTAACATCATGTGCACAGAATTGTATCCATCTGAAGCCCAAACAGATTGAGTTCCTGCAAAATGATGGCAAAATTTTTAAGTTTCAGTGGGTAGTGATATAGTGAAAAGTGACCTCATGGTTGAAGCTATGGTCAAGAGGCATATGTCTAAAATTTAGATGAACTACCATAACATTAAATGTTTCACTCATAAAAACACAGACCAAGCTACACAACCCAGCAGTATCCCCACATTAAGATCATCAAGTTCTATTGTTCCATTAATACAGGGAATTACTCAATTGCAAATCCACCTTCAGCTTCCAACATGTAAGCATCTGCAAAATAATTAAAAAGAAAGGGGTAGGAGATGCATACTTGAAGCTATATCAGGAAGAACAGCCAGCTTTTGCACTTTCATAATGTGAGGCAACTCCCGCAAGTAAGAAGTTATATTTGATCCAAGTACAGGGCTGGAGATGTGCAAAATGCGTAAAGCTCCATTTGAATCCAAGATTAAAAATTTGTTGGGGGACAGTGCCTCAATGGAGATTGCCTTAGCTGGTATCATTCTTGTCGATTTTGAGGTTTCAAACTCCTTGCCCTTGAATGTCACAAAACACACTCCCTCTTCAGGTGAGTCTTGTTTCAATTTAACTGACCGCTGCTTGGCTGCAAGGTTCAACACACCGTTAGTGGCACTAGTCAAACAGCGAAGGACAATACAAGTTCATATGAATATAGTACCAAGAAGCAATGGAAGCCACTTCCATCTAAAATAGAAATGTGTAATTATCTGGTGGCCATACTGCAGAGGTATATCTGCCCTAAGGTAGATAAATTTTTAGGGGGTCAAGGCTGGCAATCAGTCAAGAGCTAGAGATTGCAATTGGATGACAAGAAATACAACACAGTCCCTAACTGAAGTTATTTTTCTAATCAGTGATTTACCATCTAGAGGCATGCTTATGATTTTAACCCAAGGACAGCACCTTGCTTAAATGAGTAGCACCCATGTCCTGGTAAAAAAGAAATACCTAAAAGCAATTTGTCAGTGCAGATAACAGATAAACATATAAATATGTTACAAGTAGTGCACGTGCAAGAAACAGGCCCAACTAAAGTCAATAAACTAAAGTTACATGTTACAACATATGATGGAAAAAATTGTGTATACAATACAACCCCTCCGCTCACATTTAAACCATCATGTGCTTGTCATGTGACCAGTTATTGTGTGTGTGTGTGTGTGTGTGTGTGTGAGAGAGAGAGAGAGAGAGAGAGAGAGAGGTTGTGTATAACCATTAAGACAAGAATTTTTCCATAAGGATCAATAAGGTACAAGAATGGATATGCTGGTCCACAAGCATATTATATGGGTTAAAGACATAAAGTGATCATGACACTTTAATAGTAGCTAGAACACCCAAAAACCCAATAAATTTTCATTTTAACTTGTATATCTGTTAACTAATATTAAACTCAAAATTTTAGTCCAAATAACAAGATTTCAACAAGGTAATATAGGACTACTTAGCTAGGCCAATCATGGTAGGCCACTTTAAATCCAAATCACAATCTTTGAGATAGCTTGAACTATTAATAAATTAAGGATCACATTATTCACTCACTTGATCAACAATAATACCTTGTTACTTACACATTTGCATAAAACATAGAAGCCGTCCACTTAAAAGGATATTCTCCAACTTCTATCTTTAGAGAGTGTGCATTAATTTACTAGAGGATCTTTATCTCATCTTACTAGCTATTTAGTTTTACAAAATATATCCAGATAGTCATTATGATGCAACCAGTGGATGCCTATGCATACGAATCTTTCAACATCATGAAGCCTAAATTTAAGCCATGACTGAAAATTGTGGACTGAAGAGCAGCCAACCTCATTTATTTCTTTATTTAGTTTTCCAATAAGAACCCCTACTATTAAATACTTCCCACCATCAAACATGACCCTTGAACCCCCAAACTGTCAAAAGTAGCTGCTGCTTGTGTATTCCTGGCACAGCAATATGGAATTCAGCAACCTTCCAGCCATGAAAGTTTATTCTTTTCCATCATATGCAAACAATATATCTTATATGCAAGCGTATTCATTTATGAGTAAATATTTATTTATTTTCCCTATTTCAACAAGTATACCAAATAGGCACTTCATAAGAAAATCAATATGACTGTATGTGTATACATAGCAAGTCCTATAGATACATTAAGTAAATCCCATTTTTATAACCAAAAAATTCCTGCTATAGTTCGGCATACGTCAATAACTCTGGAGATATTTTAAAATTTAGGTAAAATAAATGTCTAAACACACTGAAATTGTTGCACAAATGTCCCACAAACATAACGAGGATAGATCCAATTATCAAGACACAACCTAAGGTACACAAACAAACTATAAATAAGCGTATCCTTAAAGAGGCCTGGAGTAAAACACAGTTAACAGGGGGTTAAACTATCCTCATTGGTTGTATGGCCATAGTTGTTATCATAACACCAATAGGATCTTGCTTAAGTTCTGCCATCCTTAGAAGACCAATGTATGACATATTGCTTTCACTTTGCAACAGGTTTGATCATAAAGTTCCGCTAACAACTCAATTAAGTACTAACTCAACAAGGAGCAATGGATATATTTCGTAAACACACAAAGAACGTTTGCTTTGCATTTTCTGCACACAGGTAACATCAGCAAAAGTAAAAGCAAAACCGAAAATTTGCATACTTACCAGAAACATAATTCCTATCGTTCTTCCCACACAAGTCCCCATTGCAAGGTATCTCCGAAGTTCCATGGAATTTTCCGCCTCCATATTTATTTCCCTTATCCCCCAAATCACTATGGGCATGGTCACCAATCACCCCATTAGGCAAACACAAATTTCGACCCTCGGTTTTCGAACTCGAATTCAAAAGTTTGGCCTTTCGAACCCGCCCTTTAACAAGCTGCCTCAAATTGAAAACCCTAACTCCGTTATCTTCTCCTAAGATCAAGAACCCAAAAGAAATGCTAATCGACCAAACAAGCTTGCAACACTCAATCACAGCACACCTCATCAACTTCACAACCACCCCATCGTCATCATCATTATCGTCATTATCAATCGATTTCACAGCGAAAACCCAAATCTTTGAGCTAGAAACAGAGTACATGGCGAAGAAATTGACCGACCCGGCAAGCTTAATCGAAACTCCATGGTGAGCATCAACCAAAACCCCCAATTTCTGATCAAATTGAAGCTCTTTCTGAGTGCAAACAACTTGAGCTCTCACAAATTGCTTCTGCTTGTGCAAAATATAAAACCTGAGCAGGACCTGAGACCCACCTCTATAAGGACCCGAGACAATGAATAGAACGCGAGTATTGGGGTTAGGGTTAGGGTTTTGGAGGAGGAGGAAGGTGGAGGAAGAAGAGGGAGGAGCAATTAGGGTTTGAGGAGGAGGGAGAGATGAGAGGGCAAGAGGGGAGATAGAAGGGTAGAGAGATAGAGTGGAGTCAGAGTGCATGAGAGCTAGAGAGAGAGAATGGGGCTCAAAGAGGAGGGAGGTTATGTTAGGGGAAGAGAGGGAAGGGTTGGGGAGCCTGAGCTTTGAAGCTTGGACAACAACCATTAGAAGAAGACTGAAGATGACCCAATAACAGCACAACTGTCTGAGATTTTTTGTTGTCTTGTGTTGTGTTGAGTTATTTGTAGTCTGTGTTAGAAGATATTGCAATGGTGTAGGAGGAACAAGAGGAGCATTGTCTTGTATTTTTGTTCTTCTTTGAGTCAGGTTTGGTTTTGGTTTGGTTTTTGGGGAGGCTTTCAGACTTGACGACAGATCCAAAGGTATGATTATTAAACTGTTGCAAAGAAGTCTAAAAGCTTTTGGATTGGATGTCAATTTGCTAATCCTGGATTAGTACAAATTGTTTATTGTCATGATGTCCGCATTACTCAGGTTTAGGGATTTTTTTCCTTTTTAACTTCGAAAACAATTCTTTGAACACAATAATAGGAGAAAGCATGAGAAGAAAAAAGGGCTTAAATTTATACCAAAATTGGTACAACAAAACTCTGTCTCTTCAAATATCTATTAGTTTTAAGAGAGAATTTTTACTCACCGCTTTAACCAAAGATTCATCTTCATCACTCTTTTCAACACTTGATACGTGTCTGTATGAATAACCATGATTCCATAAATACAAAATAAAAAGTTGAATATGGTAATGTCTATGAACACATGTCAAGTACTAAGAAGCGTTGTGAAAATACACCTTACGTTAAAATGGTGAACCAAAATATTTCCATTAGGTTAACGTGCTTTTTGTGTTAAATTGAGTTACCCGTATTTTATATCACGCCACATCAATAATTTACAAATATCATCCGTGCAGGATTCTTTCTGTAAACTAGTGACACTTCAAGTACAGGTTCTAGTTTCGAGTCCTCCAAACAATGATCAACCTGCTTCTTTGTTAGTTCTAATGGACTTGTTCATATTCCCATCCCGGGCTTTTGTTTGGTCATATTCTTTTGAGCTTTGGCACTTCATATAACCCAAAAAACAAAAATGAGTTTTAAACCACGGCAAAAAAGAAAAACAAAACACAGTTCTGTGTTTATATCTTCAAATTACAAAGATTTAGTTGTGTATAGAGTAAACAAAACATAGTTAAGCAAAGCATTGTCATCGTATAAACCACTGATCATTACATTGTCTTCAAATACACTAAACACAGATAATAAATTATTTATCAATAAAATAAAAATACTGCACCATCTGACAACATAACTCCAATTCAACCCACAAAAAGCTAGAGGCAGCAAGAAGCTTGTGGTTATTAGTATTAGTTGGTGAAGTTGGAGACGGTGGCTTGAGGCTCACAAGCCTTGGCAGCAGGGCTGGGCTCAACAGCAGGGCTTGGTTCCACAAGCTTCACAGCAGTAAGCTCCTCAGGCAAATCCTCAATCCCCTTGAGGTAAAAAGTGTAGAGGATCTTGAAAGGGAACACAATCTGGTGCAGCTTCACCTGCCCGAACACTCCTTCAAAGATCCCAGAGCCACCAGTCACAGCCAGATACGTGTCCTCGTAGGTCAAATAAGGTCCTTGAACTGAAATGTGACCATAGTCTCCAAAATAGAAGCTGTAAATAGCTTCATATCGATCACCTTTCTTCTCCGGCTTGTTCTCGATCAAAATGCAGATGCCTGCTGTCACTCCCAAGCGTTTCTGAAGATCCCCAGTATATATCTGCAATTACATTTGTAAATTTAGCACTAACCCACAAGAAATTATTGCTACATATATTAATATATAATAAGAAACAATGAATTAAATTACTTTGTTAGTGAAGGGGACGAGGTCTCCAAGAGAATTAACAGGTTTCTGGCTTAAACTGAGATATGCAGGGCTTGCGCGGTCTCTCTCATTGATCTCATAGACATGGAGTTCTTGAACTTTGGCTGCAGAAACAACAACATTTACCCAAAAACAATTATCAACACACGGGGATCAAATCAACTCAACCATATACCAAGGAGATTGTTATGAATGAAAAATTAATGGGGAAAAAACACTAACTGGGTCTTGAAGCGCTTGAGCAGGCCATTGTAGTTTGCAGAGTGTATTGTTCTTCTCTCAATGGGAATTGGAAAGGATGAAGGAGAAGATGTAGAGATGGGTTGTGAAGAAAGAAGGAGAAGGGTGTTTATTTATATAGAGGGAAGGATTCAATTTCAGTCAATGGTGGAATTTGATCGCGTGGGATTTTTTGGGGGTATAGAAATGGATGGTCGGTGAAGTCAATGAGTCTTCATAAAAATGTGAAATGAGGAGATGAACATGTGGATGGATGGAGACGTTGGAATGTGGAAGGAAAGTGCGGAACTTTCATTGTAAGGAGTAAGTGCGGATTTGTCAGATGGCCGGTGGAGCCTCACATGAAGACCAACCAGTCAAAGAGTTCAAACGGTCTTGGGTTGAATGAATCCATAAACAAAGTGAAGAAATGGGGAGTTGGGCTTCTGAAAGGCTTTTGGTTTCTATCAGAACCCCTGCAAATTTTCATTATAACCCCTCATTCTAGTCTCTCTAGGGATTGGGCTAGGCATTTCGAAGTTATTGTCGTATATGATCCAAACTAAAAAAAACGGATTGTTAGTATTTAAACATTTTGCTAATTAGAAAGGACAAGCAACCGCATCTGGTGTAGTGGTATCATAGTACCCTCCCACGGTACTGACCAGGGTTCGATTCCCTGGATGCGCATTTCCTCTTTTTTATTATTTTTTTATTTTTTTATTTTTTATATTTGTTAAGGGTGATTTGCTACAAGGAAAAAGATAAAATAAAGTAACTCTATCCAAAAACCCTAAACCAAAAGAAAGTTGGAAGTATCAAACAAACCAAACCAAACTTCGAAGTTTAAAAAGTCACCATTGATGGGTGTCTCTATACTCAAAAACAAACAAAAACCCAAACCTAACACCCATCCCATCCCATGTCGCACCACACAACACTCTCATATTTACCACATACATGCCCATAATGCTATTAACTTACAACCTCTTCACATAATAATCTGTGATTGCTACAAGTTTCTCTTTGCCTTTTCTTAATTTGAACCCCAACAAGATTCACAAGCCAAAAATATATGGTTATATTTTACTTCTTTCTATAAATATAAGCGTTTTTTCCTTTTAAAAATACTTAATTCTTTCTATATGCTTAGGGCTCATTTGAGACTGCTTCTTTAAGGAACAATTTCTTCTTATAAACGGTTCTAACAAAAGCACTTTTACTATTGTTTATACCAAAATGAACAGCCAATGAGAATCGGACACATGGACAAGATTGGGTCTATGGCAGCCTTCGGCACCTAACCTACCGATCCAACTATTAGGGCAACCTCCTCCTCTAGGACACGTGGCAAGCCCACAATCGATGTCTACAGTCTCACATCGAAATTCTACACAACTTGCACAACTCCCAATGTCTATAAAAGAAGCACAATTCCCCAAAATGGAGGTAGTCAAAACTCACAGCATACTGCCTATTGATCTGTAGTTCAACTTTACTAAATCCGTACTTACTTAAGTATCGGAGAGCCTTCGGCCGGTACCACACCGGTGCCCTAGGTCTTACTGAGCGTTTGTTATCTTGCAGATCACGCGCTCTACCGAGGCCAGAGCATACCGAAGGCCCAATATCACTAAGTTGCGCGGGAAAGTGCCAAACCATTTTTCTGCGTCAACAGTTTGACGCCGTCTGTGGGAATACGATCTGAACCAACCCACCATCCCTAAAAAAACACATGGGGACCACTTCAGTACCAGTATTTTTGCCCGAAGAAAGGCCACCGTTCGGAAAGTAGAGTGAAGCTAGCCCAGCGCTGCCCTCATGCACTCCGTTCGGCAATTCGCCCATTATGCAACTCATTGCCGAAGCCGAGCTTCTGGCTCAGATAACCTCCATTCGGCAGGACGTGGCTAAGTTGCAATAACACAACAACTTTCTTTCGTCCAAAGTGGATGAAACCCAGCAACTGCTCAATCAATAGCAAACGCAAACCATTCAAACAACCCAATCGTCCCAGAGCCTGCAGACTCCTAGTCGGCACAAGAAAGGTAAGAAGAGGGCAAAGGCAGCGCCTGCGCCCTCCAAGCAGTTGGTAGTTCACGCACCCCGGGACCAGCCGCACATATTGAAGAAAGTTTATGTCGATTGCCGGCATCGGATCAACGACAAGGAGGCCGAACAGCAGAGATCTCCAATCAGGATCAACGCAAAACTCCGAGACTCAAGGTTGAAAGCCCTGGGAAATAAGTCACCGATTCGAAAGGCTCAGGGCTTATGATTCACTGAAGAGTCAGATTCCGAGTATGTCCTTTCCAAGACTAGCTCCACCTACCGTTCGACAACGCCAATGAGGTACTCGAAGGTTAGGCCCGTAAGCCCCCAAAAACGTTTGGAAGACTACAGTTTCGAGGAAATCCCGAGTCGAAATCCTTTCATCCGACTTCTCTTCCAGAAAGTCCAGAAGATGGAAAACGACCGAGTTCGCTTTCAGGAACCAGACTGGGGAAAGCTACGACCAGGACCATTTACTGAACATATCAAGCGCTCACGGCAGGTTAGAGACATACAACCTCTACGTATACCATTCTACACAGGGGTGGAAGACCCCTTAACGCATCTTCACTCCTTCCAATCGGCAATAGGATGTAAGGGGCCCAGTGACGAAAGGCAATGCCTGCTATTTTCGTCCGCGCTTACAGGGGCGGCATTGAATTGGTTCTACCGATTGGAACCAGAAATGGTGGACTCCTTCGACGAACTGAAACAGATTTTCCTCAATCACTTTATAATCCAGACAGACCGTCTGTACTCTGCCGATGATCTGTACACGATTCGGCAGAGAGAGGACGAGCCCTTACGAGAATACGGTGCACGCTTCAGTCACGAATACTCGAGATGTCCGAAAACAGAGGACAGGGCAGCTTTCGGTGCCTTCAAGAGTGGCATTCGGTCCTCGCACTTTTAGTACCTCGTGCACAGTAGCAACTGGCGCACCTATGACGAACTGATGAAGCAAGCGGCAATTCACGCCAAGGCTGAATATTTCAACTCAAAGTCCGGACCTTCGGCTCGGCAGGAGGAACCAGCCTTGAAAAGCTATCCCGGAAAAGGATCACCGTATGCCCCTAGGAGAACTGACGAACCCTCGGCAGGACACAAATGGAAGGACAACTGTGATAATCGGCAGGGTGGCTCTAAGAAAGGATGAGGAAAATACGGTTGCAATGACCACCGTGCGCCACTACCGAATCAAGATCGCGCTCATGAAGTATTCACCTTGTTGAATACCACATACGAAGCCGTATTGATAAATGAGCAAGAAATCATACCGAAGCCGAATCACCGAAAACCTAATCGGCAGGATAATCGGGATACGGGCAAATTCTACCGATACCACCAGCATAATAGCCATAACACCGAAGACTGCATAAGTCTGAGGAAAATCGTCAAACGACTGATTCGGGAGGGGAAATTGGATCAGTACATCGCCAGACCACCGCAGGAGCCAGTCCCGAATGCAAATCAACAGATAAACATGATCAGCACCATCAGCAGAGGCCCCACTCTCGCCGGACCATCTAACCGATCAGTAAAACAGTATGTACGGGCTGCGCACTACCCTTAAATCTTCGGCATAGACGCCGACCGGCACCGTAAGGTTCCAAAGGTAGGATGAGAGCCCATCACGTTTTGTGAAGAGGAGGAACAAAATATCATTTACCCCCATGACAACCCGATGATTATTCGAGCTGAAATCGCTGATTACGATGTTGGAAGGGTACTTATCGACTCTGAAAGCTTGGTAAATGTAATTTTTTCTTATGCATTCAGAGGATTGGAAATTGCCGACAGTATGGTCAATCGACAGATAACACATTTACTTAGTTTCTCCAGGGATCTGGTCCAGCCAGTCGGCAGTGTTAGTCTGCCCATTGCCTTCGGCGTTGCCCATCGAAAAACAATGACTTATGATCAGTTTCTCATCGTCGACTGCCCCATGGCATACGACGTCATCGTAGGACGGACGACACTCACTGGAATCAAAGCGCACCTGTCCCCCCACATATTGCTAATGAAATTCCCAACATGCAACGGCACTGGCCCTGTCCGAGGAGATCAGCTCAGCACACGGACGTGCTATGCGACGGCCCTGAAGTCGGTAGCTTGCAAACCTCTGATGGAAGCGATGACTGTGCAAGGGGTACCGAACGGTAGCAGGTCTATAGACGACCCAAGGGAGGACACGCTAACGTCGCAAGCGTAACCTGCCTAAGAACTGGAAACAGTAATGCTGAATGAAGAGCATCCCGAAGGGTGCGTGAAGATTGGCACCACACTCAACCCCCACCGCCGAGCGCAGTTTCTCGAGTTCTTACGGCATCACACGGAAGTATTTGCCTGGTCCTATGAGGACATGCCAGGCATATCTCCAGACGTCATCAGCCATAAACTTAGCATCTCCTCCGCCTATAAGCCCTTTAGGCGGAAGCGTCGTTCGTACGATGCCAAACGGTATGAGGTCATGCGTACCGAAGTTGACAAACTAAAAGCCATCGGCTTTATCAAGGAAGCTACATACCCTGTATGGCTTGCCAATTCGGTAATGGTTCGGAAACCCAAGGGCAAATGGCGAATGTGCCAAGATTACACTGACCTGAACAAGGCATGTCTGAAAGATAGCTTCCCGTTACCTAGGATCGACCTGCTCATTGATGCAACAGCCAGTTATGAACTGCTCAGCTTCATGGACGCCTATTCAGGATACAACCAGATATTCATACACTTTGCCGACAACGAGCATTACAGCATTCATCACTGACCGTGGATTGTACTGTTACAACGTCATGCCATTCGGCCTGAAAAACGCGGGGGAAACATATCAAAGGCTTGTCAACTGAATTTTCGCCAAACACATCGGCAGCATTATGGAGGTGTATGTCGATGACATGTTGGTGAAAAGCCGAACGGCAGGGGAGCATCTGGAAAACTTGGCCCTTATGTTCGGTATACTAAAGGATTACCGAATGAGACTAAACCCAACAAAGTGCGCCTTCGGTGTGTCTTCAGGTAAGTTTCTTGGGTTCATGATCAGTCAAAGAGGGATCGAAGCAAATCCCGAGAAATTCAAGGCCATAATCGACATGGAGAGGCCAAAAATGCATAAGGACATTCAGAGCCTTACTGGACGTGTCGCTGCCTTAACCCGCTTCATCTCCAGGGCTATCGATAAATGTGTACCGTTCTTTAAAGTCTTGAAATGGGGCAAACAGCATATTGCGTGGATCGCCAAATGTGACAAGGCATTTCAAGACCTATAGAACTTCATAAGCAAGGCACCACTATTGTCAAAACCATTTCCTGGAGAAGTTCTCCTTCTCTACCTTTCGGTATCCAGCACTGCCGTTAACTTAGTGTTGATACGGAAGCCAGAGAAGGCAGAACTACCGATCTTCTATGTCAGCAAGGCGCTGCAGAGCGCAGAGCTTCGGTTTCCTTCCTTGGAACAGCTAGCTATAGCCCTCGTCGTCTCAGCTCGAAGGCTCCGCCTATACTTCTAAGCGCACGAGATCACGGTTCTGACCAATCAACCCATTCGGCAGGTATTCCAAAAGCCAGAAACATCCGGTCGATTGGTAAAATGAGCGATTGAGCTTGAAGAATTTGGTATACAATTCAAGCCCAGGCCTGCAGAGAAGGGTCAGACTGTTGTCGACTTCATTTCCGAGCTTATACCTGCGGTACTACCAGAACCTGTCATTTCAGACGCTGATACTTGAAAACCAGAAATGCAGAATACCGAACGCCTTGATTCTTCCGTTCCTGTATGGATTCTGCATGTCGATGGCTCTTCAAATCAACAAGGTTGTGGAGCTGGTCTGGTGTTGACTACTCCAGACGGAGCCAAGGTTGAGTATGCCCTTTGATTCAACTTCAGAACCTCCAACAATGAGGCAAAGTATGAGGCTTTCTTGGCTGGCCTTCGACTAGCCAAGAGCATGAGCGCAAAACAAATCAGCATTCATAGTGACTCCCAGCTCATAATGAATCAGATAACGGCAGACTTTGCAGCCAATGATGCCTCTATGTCAGCCTACTTATCGGCAGCCCACCAACTCCTACAAAAATTACAGGCCTACGAGATTCGGCAGATCCCCAGATCAGAAAACAGTCACGCTGATGCACTCTCACGTTTAGCTTCGGCAATAAACGACAAGGTCGGAAGGAAGGTGCCGGTGGAGATACTATCCCAGCCAAGCACGGAAGCTGCTGAAGTATGTACTGTACGGTACGAAGACACATGAATATCTCCAATCTATGCTTTCTTGACGACCGAAACTATGCCCACCGATAAGTCTCGAGCCCAGAAGCTACGGTACTGATTGACAAGATACACAGTCATCAATGACGTCTTGTACAAACGAGGCTATACTGCACCGTACCTGAAATGCATCATTGCCGGACAAGGGGACTAAGTCCTTCGGGAAATCCACAGTTGAGTATGCGGTGATCATTCTGGTTCCCGATCACTGGCACATAAGGCCTTTCGGCAAGGGTATTACTGGCCAACTTTGCACTAAGATGCAAACGCGTTAGTGAAGAAGTGCGACAAATGCCAACGGTTCGGTAATGTACCTCACATCCCTACTGAACCCTTAACGCTGATCGTAAGCCCATGGCCTTTTGCCCAATAGGGACTGGACTTGATCGATTTGATGCCGCAAGGCAAAGGCCAGGTCAAATATGTCGTAGTTGCCGTTGATTACTTCACCAAATGTGTAGAGGCCGAAGCTCTAGCAACTATAACGGAAACCAGAATGAAGGACTTCATCTGGACCCACATTTGCTGCCGATTCGGTATCCCCTATGCAATCATCACCGACAATGGCAGGCAGTTTGATTCGGAAGTCTTCAGGCAGTTTTGCACTCGCCTCAAGATCAATATGTTTTTTGCTTCCCCGGCCCACCCCCAGTCGAACGGTCATGTCGAAGCAATAAACAAAATCATCAAGAAGCTACTGAAACGACATCTTGACAAAGCCAAAGGAGCTTGGTCGGAGAAGCTTCCAGAAGCATTATGGGCCATTCAGACATCCTACCGAACGGCAACCGGGGAAACCCCTTTTTCTCTCGTCTTCGGTTCGGAAGCGGTAGTCCCTGTGGAGATCGGCGAGCCTTCCTACCGAACTAAAACCTTTACTCCAAAGGCGAACGAGGAAGCACTCGCTTTAAGCCTCGACCTGATTGAAGAACGCCGAGCGCAAGCCAACCTTCGGAGAAGCTTACAAACAGCGCGTCTCTCAGTACTACGACTCAAGAGTCAGATCCCGTTCTTTTCCAAATCGGGGACTGAGTTATACAAAAAGTCTTGCTGGCAATTAAGAACCCCACGGAAGGAACCCTCAGACCTTTCTGGGAAGGACCTTACGAAATCATCGGCATCCTCCGATCGGGAACCTATCGCCTCAGAGACTCAAACGGCAAGACCCTCGGTCATCCTTGGAACGTCGAACATCTGAAGTATTATTTCAAGTAGTTCCCTAGCCTACGACATGTTTTAATTGTAAAACGAACTCTGAACTTATCTTTGTCTTCGGTAATATTTAATGAAAAAAGCCTTCGGCATATATATTCGCAACCTTTGGTGCGTTTATTTATTTCGTTAATTTAAAAGATATGGTAGGGACCATCGGTCACAACATACTACTCTTATAAACACTTTTTAACCTTCGGCAATTAAGGTACTAAGTTCAACTCTCCTACCAGTTAAAAGTTTACTTCGGATGGTAATCGTTGATTAGCCTTCGGCAATTAAACACTTAAATCCAGTGTCCTACCGATTAAAGGTTCACTTGGGAGTTGTTCTTTTACTAACCTTCGGCAGTTAATCAATCACTTAGCCCTCGACAAATAATTTGATTAGTTTTCAATGTCCTACCAATTAAAGGTTCACTTGGGAGTTGTTCTTTTACTACCCTTCGGCGGTTAATCAATCATTTAGCCCTCGGCAAATAATTTGATTAGTTTTCAGCTTCCTACCGATTAAAGGTTCACTTAGGAATTTGTTATGTAACTAGCCTTCGGTGGTTAATCGATTATTTAGCCCTCGGCAAGTATAATGATTGCTAAGTGCCTTAATATTAACATTTTATTTAGCCCTCGGCATTTAAAAGGATTGAACGAGAAAATCTACCGATAGTAAAAACACTTCGTAGTTGAACAAAACTTGAGAAAAAAAAAACTGAAACAAAATAAATTAAAGGTGCCCTCGGCACCAAGGTGTTCGGAAATACTGCCTCATGGTAGGTACAAAAATACATTAAATAAATTATGAAATATCAGCATCGGCATGAGCTTTTTCAGCATGAGCAGAGCCTTCGGCGGCAAGGACCTCTTCCAGCGCGTCTTCCCCTTCGTAGTCTTCAATCATCTCATCGGTGAGACCTTCCGGTAGAGGAGGAGTATCGGCGATGAAGTTAAGGTTCAGCTTCTGCCTAGGATTGTACCTCTTGAAACGGTAAAGCAGATCCTCCATCTCCGAGCCCACCTCCTTGTCCAGCAGGATGGAGAACTCGGTCGATAAATGATAGCTTCTGATCGCCTCCTAGACGGCAGTATCGATCTCCGAAGCCTTGGCTCGTTCTGATTCCTCCAAGGCCACCTGCACCGCCTCTTTTGCTTCATAGGCCTTCCTAGCCACCAACTGCGCACCCTCCAGAGCCGACGTCATCTCAACAAATTTGGCTTCGTAAGCTTTGACTTGCCGTTCGACAGCCTGCATATCCTTAACGAGATGAGCGTGGTCTTGGAGAGCTTTGCCAGCCTCGGCAACCTTGGCCCGGCCATCCTCGTAGGCCTTCTTGGCACTCTCCGCAGCATTGATGGCCCACCTCATGCACAGACACATGTCCATCGAAGCCTGAAAGACAAAGAGAAGTCAGTACAGTGCCGAACGGTAAAGGCAAAACAAAAAAAAAAAGAAAAAAAAAAGCAGAAGAAGACTTACCGAGGCCTGGAGACAGAAGGCACGCCCTGCTTCCTCCCGTAAGAGCTTCTTCGGCAGCTCCTCGATCTCGGACAACTCCATTTGCGAACCAAGGATCATATGGTTCACAAACTGGACTGCCTTCGACGGACAAGCAATCATGATTGGCTTCGCCGAGTTCTCATCATCCTCGACAACAAGGGTAACCCTCATCACCTCCCCTTGTCGACTCCACTTGGGGGTCAGCTCCGCCTCCAAATCCACCGTCACCGGCCTTTTACCGGCAGCCTTGGAGGAGGTGGCGTCGGTAGTCTGCTCCCGCCTCGGCGTAGAGCCGACTGCTGCCGCACAAGCAGACATCGTCCCAGCGTTGAGTTGCCTCAGGCGATCGGCAAGGGTTTGATCTTTCGGATCAACCCCCGCCGACGGAATCGGCACTGCCTCCGTCTGTCGTTTCGCCTTTTTCCCTTGCAGGCCCATCATCAGGCGCCGCTTGGAGGATTCGTTCATTCTTCTCACCTCGGCAGCTTTCCTCTCTTCCGTCACTACATGAGAAAAAGATCGGTAAGGCATCAGCAATATATGAATGACGACGCAAAGACGATGTCCACTTACTTTCGGCATGATTGGCAAGTCTGGCTTCGACCAAGTTCGCAGTAAAGAGAAAATGAGGGTACACCCTTTCGACGGCAGGGACCTTCAACCTCACCCTGTCGATCTGCCGAATCTCAAACTGCGTAGGACCCGGCTGCTTTAATTTACATGCAAAAGAAACACAACAGTTGAGATCTCACAATAAAGAAACGACAATCAGCTTACCGAATGGTACATCAACCTACCAGCTATTTGGAAGTTAGTGGGGATGTGGAAGCGAATAGGCTATCTCGATGGCGACTCCCAGTCGCCAGAAAGGAGCACTCGTCAATTCCTCCACGACTTCTGAGAGGTCGGCACGGCACTGAGAAAATGGCCGCCTTCGGAAGCCTTCTAGCAATTGGCCTGAACCCAGCCACCATGGTCGACACTCTTAGACCTAGTAATGCTATAGAGGTAAGAGAATTGTTCATAGGAATGTTCTCTTTCCTCGGCAATGCCGAACGCAGCGATTACTCCCATCAGCGCCACCCAGAAGTTAGGGTTATATTGACCTAGCGCATAGCCGATCTGCATCAATATTCTCTGTACTGCCGGTTACAGCGGCAACCGAAGTCATTGGAGAAGCACGTCGGTGAAAAAGACGACTTCGCCATCCTTCGGCTTGCTGAGAGACTCGGTAGGACCCGGGATTCTCATCCTCACTGAATCTGGGATGCAATACTCAGCGCGGTACTTTGCGATCTCCCATTCGGTGATCTTATTTGGCTCTAAGTAGTCTACACCGAACAGGTGCTCCTTCGGCACCCCTATCGATACCCTAGGGTTGCTGGGGAAGATTATCGATACCCTCGAACGGGGAGACGGTTCATTAGCTGCTTCCCCATGACTAGATGTGGAGGCCTTCGGCTGCTGACCAACGCTGGACTCATAGTGTTGATCTAAGCCAAAATGCTTACCGTCACGATAGACCACAGCCAACGGCGTGGGCTGCTGGGTCATGAGCCCCTTCCTGATGCCGTGAGTTGGAACGGAGCTCGGGCCTTCACTGAGTATCTCAACATCGGTGTCTTCTCCGTCCTCGGCAACGGGGCCTACGACCTCACTATCTGAATCGAACAGACCTTCCGATGACTCCCTCTCGAACAGTGACTCGTTATCGGACATCTACAAAAGAGGAAAAAAGAAACTAAGGGCCATGCAGAAGACTTGGCTACCTATCCCTATATCACTACCTATGGCAACTAGACTACCAAACGGAACCCTATGGTCAGTCTAGTTCATGCCAAGGAAGGACGTACGACGAACAGCAATATTAAATGAGAGAGTTAAATGAGAATGCTGAACGGTACCTCTGATTGCCGTTCACTACGTCGAAAATCGCCTTTATTGTCGTTAGCTCTGGCCAGAAATCGCCTTGATTGCCGTTAGCTCTCGTCGGAAATCGCCTCAACAGAGCTCTCGCTTCTCTCACAAATGCAAAGTGATCATCTCTTCCGGAGTCACCCTTATTTATAGGGCGATGGTTCACAACGGTACGCCTCGAAAAACCAAACGGCGCATTAATGCGCCGCACCCAATGAGTGCACACGCCACGTGGAATTCATCCTGTGGATGACCTGACAGCACGCGAGGCACGGAAGACGAAGTGCCCTCCAGTCCCATCGCACATCAACTTGATGCGACCTTCTGACTCCCCCGACGTCAGCTTCTGGACGGGAACGCACGGAAGTGCCAAGATTGAGCCCCTCCATCCACTGAGTTACCGAACAGTAGGATAGCATTTCCCTGCCGAAAAGAATATCAAGTCCCCTTCTGAGAACTCTCGAAAGAGAACTTGGGGGACTCCTGTTTATACCAAAATGAACAATCAATGAGAATCGGGCGCGTGGACAAGATTGGGTCTATGGCAGCCTTCGGCACCTTGCTTTGGCACCCAACCTACCGATCCAACAATTAGGGCAACCTCCTCCTCTAGGACACATGGCAAGCCCACAATCGATGTCTACAGTCCCACATCGAAATTCTACACAACTTGCACACCTCCCAATGTCTATAAAAGAAGCACAATTCCCCAAAATAGAGGTAATCAGAACTCACGGCATACTGCCTATTGATATGTAGTTCAACTTTACTAAATCCGTACTTACTTAAGCATCGGAGAGCCTTCGTCCGGTACCACACCGATGCCCTAGGTCTTTCCGAGCGTTTGTTATCTTACAGATCACGTGCTCTACTGAGGCCCAGAGCATACCGAAGGCCCAACATCACTAAGTTGCGCGGGAAAGTGCCGAACCATTTTTCTGCATCAACAACTATAAAATAAAATAATCAAAATTTTCATAAGAAATTCAAATACACTCTAAAAACACTTAATATACTTCATAAAAAGCACGTAGCAAGTGCTTCTAAACGTGTGGGATGCTGTTATATTATTTAGGGTATTGAAAAGCACAGGGCCACAGGCACATGCTGTTTCCCTATCATCAAGACAACACTATAGTAATTGAACTGAACAGTGGGTAGCTTCTGTACACGTTCCATTGATGTTGGGCCCTCCAAACTTTCTTTGTTGGTATTAGTTTCTGTTTTCAGTCAACTCCCGGGTCCAAAGCATAATACAAGAACTCCCTCAATCTTTTGATTATTTCTAGGCATTTTATTGTTCAAAAGCTTGATGCGAACACTAGAGCAACAACCAAATAATTTATATGATGAGGGAGATGTTCTCTCTGACAACATTTTTTTTTTCTCTTGGTTTGATTCAAACGATACTGAGGGAGGCGGAATTCGAACAAAACTGCTTTTAACAACTTAATTTTGATGATTTGGATAAAAAAGATGGGATAATAATCTTTTAATTAGTTGATTAAAAAAGAAGAAAAAAAAGATAAACATCCCACTACAATTAAAATTCTTTCTATTTGCCATGGTAAGCTTTGTCACACTTATACAAATCCAATTTCATGGAAATGGGGCTCTATGAACTTATTCTTGCTCCAAGCCTCCAACGCATGTTATTGTCTACAATACAACTACATGTTTCCACAATGTTAACTCCAAACAACCTTACCACTCCATCATCTTCTTGAACCCTTGACAAAGGCTCTTCAACTTCAACCCTACTAGCCATCTCTCCGAGCCCCGAAACCTCGACGTTTCTTGGTCTACAGTCAATGAACATCTTCTTCTCCTCCCCTCTCGATCTCTCAAACCTAACAACATCCCCTGCTTTCAACTTCTTCTCCTTCACAAAACGAGTCCACCCTTTCGTCAACACATAACTCTGACTGCTACTCCAATAACAATATCGAAGCCTCCAAACTTTCCCCTCACCATCCTCAAAATTCAACAGCACCCCTTTACATAATTCCTCACTCAGATGCGATGGAAAATGCTTCTCTGCATGTTGTTTTGGTATGACCATACGGTTTAATCTCCCTACATCGCTTGGCGTCGCCACTTTCTCGAAAAGCCACTCCCTCTGATGATCATAACCTTCCATCAAATTAACGTGACACTTAATTCTCTTCCTAGCAGCATCATCATCACCAGCATTGAACAGCTTGAGCTTGTACATCTCAAGCTCATTGGTGTACGAGTGTTTTCGAAGCATGTCGACGATCTCGGCCTTGGAATGAGATTGCAAGAAAAGGGTTTCGCTGTCACCATCCATGTAAGGCTTCAACTGATTCTGGTTGAAGTTTGTGATGGTTTCGAGGCCTCGGAACCTTATTGAGGCAATGTCATAGGCCTTAGCAGCTTCTTCTTCGGCATTGAAGGTTCCCAGCCACACACGCTGGTGCTTCTCGTATATTTGAGCTCCCCATCTGCCATTTGGTTGCGGGACAACTCCCTTGTACCTAGAAGAAGGTAACTTGTTCGAATTTGCAGCCTCACTTGTGCTCTCATTCAACACATCCATTGATCTCAATAAACAAAGACTATATGGATTGAAAGGTTTTGTGGGTATTTTGATTCAGGAGAAGAGGAGAACGAGAATCGAACTCTTTCCTTTTTCGTGTATTTATTTAGGAACTAAAGATGGAGAGGACCAACCTTTTTTTGGTTCATGGAATATGGGATGTTATTATTATAGTTGGTGTGGGATGTATATGAAAAGTAGGACCCAACTGAGCAAGTTGATGGGTTCGCATAGAATTTTACGTTGTTTGATGCAAAGTTCATCCCCCCTGATCAAAAACCCTATGCTGTTATATATACCGTACCTGATCTGATATTATGGTCCACACTGCCAACAAGTTGCCTGCTTTTCACGTCTCCAGAATAATAATGTATTGAGTTTTTGTTTGAGACTTTGAAAACCCTTTTCCTTTTTTCTTTTCATTTCCCTTTCCCCCGCCCAACCTTATCTAACAATATCTTCACCACTATGATAATGATATGATCTGTTGTTGCTGCAGCGGGCTGTGTGTTGAATGTGGGGGAGGGGATTTGCCTCGATTGGGTTGGGATTGGTTGAAATTTCCTAGGCTGAACGTGGCGTGTTCTGATTGGTTCTGTGTGTACTTGGCTTGTTTTCATTGGCTGCTTGCAAAAGGGATTTTGTCTTATTCTATCTGGGTTCGCATATGGTAGTTGTGAAAGTCACTAGTGTTTTCACCCAACATTGGCATGTTATCCCCTCTGTATCAGGTTCAGGTCTGGGTTTTTTCTCTGTGCATGCATTTGGACAGTGAAATGCACATTTTACTTTACTTTTCCTAGTTCATCAGAAAAAAAGGGGTAAAACATATGCAATTACCATTAACCCAGTTACATATTAGGCCCATCCAAATATAAGAGGCTGCCCAACAAATACAAGCAAGCTCAACCAAAAGAGGAAAACTACAGCCCAAAGAAACAAGAAGTGAGGTCCAACCCCAAACAAACACGAGAGCCACCGCCGCCCGGCGAGAGCACTCCACCAGAAACCCGAGCATTGAATAAATTAGAGTGATTTAGATTATCGCTTACATTAAAAAAAGTTTAAATGTAACGAGCCCTATTAGTCTATAGACATTGAGTATTTTAAATTATCAAGTGAAGAGGACCAACCAAGTCACAAGGCTGATCAAACATGGGACCGTTTTTTTATGTGGTCGTGCAACCCTTGGTTAGGTTTTAGATGAAGACGAAGAAGTCCTATGTGGTTATGTCAAGCATCTAGCTCAAGCAATGTGAAAGCAAGTGTCCACCGTCTAAAAGATTACAAGATGAAGGACCACCCTGTCTTGTGTGAGGTTTGCCATATGCACCCATCATCAACCAAAACAAAAGCACACATGAAGAAGATAAGATAGCCACAAAATAGGAATTCTGGAGAGAACATGGTGGTCCATCTTATTTGGGATTTGTGGAGTGTTGTGCATAGATATTAAACATTTGGGATTTGCTGGAGTTTTAATGTGAAACCTTCATCTTCATTCTTTGTCTTATACTTTTTTCTAAAAATCATTCTCCCTTGTGAGAGTAAATCAGCACCAATCATTTCACATGTTATCATCACTTACCTTTCCAACACCTACCCCTTTCCACACCCCCAACAACTCCATTTTTTTTGGGTTGTGCTGCTGCAACATGAATTTTATGAATGTGAATATTCGAAACTATTCTGATGTATGAGAAGAGGTTCAAGTTCGGGTGCAAAGGACAGACACATTGTCTTGGTCAACTGACCTAATTCACGTAAACAAGAAAAACCCAACTCTCTCAATCTCATATAGAATGATCCATGTAGGAAGGACTAATCCTATTATATGAAAAGTTGAGGTAAATGTTGGAAGAAAAGTTAAGCTTCTGTAACATATTTCTTAAATCTAATTTTTTGATAGGAAGGTTCCTCTCAGTTTCCCCTAGAATTTGTTGGAATCAAAAGCATCTTACAATTTACTCAATTGATTGGCACTATTAATTAAAGAAAAACAAAAGACGAAGCAGCTAAATCCTAGTTCAGATCTGTAGAATCTAATTGAAAATTTAGGCGACTTTATACAGTGAACAGCACAGTTTAGAGATACGAGGAGGACAAACACAATCTTTGGTTTTACCAAGACAAACTTTGTCCACTGTAACTTTTGTTTTGATGCCACATTCAAAACAGTTGTAAAGAATTAAGAATCATTGAACGGACAGACAGCTCCCCCCTAATTATGAACATTCAGCAAAAATCTAGGTTGCTTAGCATATCACAGGCAGTGTCCATGTCCCTCACGAGGCTTTCACGTGCAGGGTTTGTCTTCTTTATGCTTTTACAGCCATGCCAATGGAACTAGCTTGGCCATGTCATCCTCTGCAATTTATTGAAGAAGAAAAAACAAATCAAATACCGGCCAATAAGCAAACGTGAGTAAGGCTAGTTAGTCAAAATACTGTATCCGTCTCTTTACACCTGAGTTCGATCGTAAGCCGCCAATGATGAGACAAGAACCTGGACTTATTTTTGACAATGGAGAGAGTGCATTTTGAGATCAGTTTTTGATGGACTGTGTCTCCTGTGACCAAAACCTTTCTTAGTCTTACAGGTACGCGTATTTATTTTTCATTTATAATATGGGCCCTCCAAAATATACTGTTTCTTTTGGTAGCTTCCTGGAATCCAAGCAGCACTGAAAGATCTTATTCAATTTTGGGCTAGCTAGGCCCACTTTCAGATAAGGCTCAGCTTAGCTTACATTTTTTTTCAGTCTTTAATCAAAATGATGGAGAAGACATGTCTGGACTCTTCTGTAATCAACCAATTCCAATTAAAGATAATTTGTTTGATTTGATGGGATTTATTTATATTTATGTATCCATTCATTTGGGTGGATGACAGTTAGAATAAGCATTACCAAACTTACTCGCAAACCAAAATATACTCATCTTATTAGAACCACAAAAACTAAAATAAAAACACCCACCTTTTGGTTCACCCAAAAAATTATTTTAGTACTTGGAGTTGAATTAGTTCCAGAACCCCAAAATATGAAGATTGAAAAGATCTTGTAATCAAATCCTAATTAGGGGTGGATACGAGTTGAATTAGTTCGGTTTAATATCAAATACTAAACTAAATCGACAAGATAAATTTGATAATTTTTTATTCCGTATTTTAGTAAGTACAAGATGAAAATGAGAGTACATTGGGTTGTCGGTTCCGGTTTTCTTGGTAAAATGGTCACCATTACCAAGTGAGGCCTATTTGCTTGAGCAGCCTATTTGCTCAGCCCTAATCAAACTCAAATTACTGCAAATGATTATGCATAAACTCCCCAAGACTAAAGAAAGGGAGGAAGACGGGGTTCATGGTCTGGTTAAGTTGACCTTTTCCCAATGCACCCAAGTGAAATATATGGGAGGAGCACGAGACTAAACATGTGGGATTATGTCTCGTCTTAGGCTAAATAATCACATAATCAAGTAGTTTATTTAAACTTTGGTTGGGTTTGAAGAAGGCACTGCAGATTATATTGCAAATTTTGGGTTTCGAGGTTCAATATTATAGTAATTTGTACACAAATGCGCTGTCTCTCTGTCCATTTCATGAGTTCCACCAGTACTCTCCTACAGGAACATCCCATGTAATTGGAACTAGACACCTCCCCTAATCTCACAGACTTACATATACAAAAATTACAGTCATATTGTTATATTAATTTTTATGATTTTTTTTTTAATTTTTATGAAATATTAAACTGCATTGATAATTCAAATTCTCAGAGCATTTGAGTTCAATATGATTCTGAAAAGGGGTATTTGGAAATTTGAACTTTCAATGAAATCTTTTTTCCTTTTTTTCTTTAGGATTTTTCTTATTGAAAAGGGCGATAGTGTATTAAACTCACACACACTATATGAATGCTAGGATTCGAACCCATGACATTTCTTAAGGAGAAATTGCTCTTAAAATATAATGTGTAACAAAAATTAATAGACTATAAGTGGAACCTTTTCACGTACGATATGAGAGCGGGGTTTTTGTTTTTTTTTTGTTTTGAAGAGTTATATGGAGCAGAGTTCATCATGAAATTATCTGAACAATTATGTATGCTTCTGTTTTATTTATTTTTTTGGTCAATACCAACAATTATGCTTGTTTTCCTTGTGCAGCATGCATTGCAGTCACAAGACATGACACAGGAACAACAAAATTTTGTCACGAAATATTAGGGCCCGTCTGGTAACGTTTTCGGAGGATGTTTTCTGAGAATATTTTCAGAGAATGAAAACAAGAAAACAAATTTGCATTTTCAGGAAATGAAAATGCGTCTGGTAGATTAATAGAAAACATCTTTAGAAAACAAAAACAATGAAAACGTGTCTGGTAGTACAATTTGATAATAATAATAATAATAATAATAATATGTGAGCTATTTTTCAAGTGTATTTTTGCTAATTTATGTTCTAAAAAATATTTTAAAAAATGTATAATTTGACAAATAAAAAATTATATTGTTTTTTAAAAGTTAAATTTATTTTTATCTCTTTATTTTTTCTTCCTCTTTTCCTCTTTTTTCCTTTTCTTTCTTTCTCTTTTCTTCTCCCTTCCCAGGCCGTTCCTTTCTTCCTCTTTTTTTCTTTTTTCCTTTTCTTTCTTCCTCTTCTCTCCTCTCTCTCTCTCTCTCTCTCTCTTAATTGGGTGGTGATGGCGATGGTGATGCTTTGATTGGGTACGGGTGGTGGAGGTGCCGATTGCTTTTTTACTAGGTGGCGAGATGTGTATTGGGTTCGATTGGGTGTTTGGTTTTGATTCCATTGGCATGGTGGTGGTGTTGGTGTTGGTGTCGGTTGGGTTTGATAGGTGGTGGTGATGTGGGGACTGGGTCTGTGAGGTTTGGTGGCAGTGGCAGAGTTAGTGGCGGTTGCGGTGATGATTGTCTGACAGTCGTGGCTGTGGTGAATTTGATTTTCGTTTATGTTTTGGTTTGATTTTCGTTTCGTTTCTGTTTTGCTGGGTAGAATGATGGGGTTGTGTGTTTCTGTTTATGTTTTAGGCGTTTGTTTCCTGTGAGAATGAAAACACATTTTTTCTGTTTTTCCGAAGTACACATGATGTTGTTCTCATTTTATGAAAACATTCTCAGTGTTTTCTGTTTTAGTCCACCGAACGAATTCTTGGTTTGTTTTTGTTCTCAGAAAATGAAAACGGGCGTTGAAAACTTAAACGAACGGCCCCTTAATAATTCAGGGTCTGGGGAAC